GTGCTCTCACAAGGAGTTTGCACAGCCCCAGTCCAGCCTGTGCTCTGTCTGATTGACCCATACCACCCAGCCTCCAGCTACTTGGTATCAAACCTGGATTGTGATCAGTTAATGCCCCTTTCATAAATTCCTGCCTCATGCGTCACTGCTGTGTTTTTGAAGGGTTTGGTGGACACCTCAGGAGATGGGCAGGTGGGATCAAAGCTGGAATCTGGGGAAGATAACAAGAATGGTGCCCCATGCCCAGCAAAGTGGGTGAGCTGGAGTGGCCCTTGCCAAGCAGGGGCACAATGAGGCCACAATGCTCTATCATATGTCCCTAGATGCATCAGCAGGGCTATGCCAAGGACCTTTCCCATTAGTGGCCCCCCACGCTGCTCCAGCACTTTACTCCTGACTGCAAACCCCTGGGTTTGATTGCCGCTTCAGTGGTGGGAGAAGCAGTAAAAGCTGAACCCCGGGGGGACAATAAAGCCATCGGAGAGGAGATAAGGAGGGATCAAACAGAGCGCAGCAGCCACCCCGTGCTGGACTCTCAAAGGTTTCTTTGTTCCCGCTGCCTCCTGGTTCAGTGCCGCACTGCCTTCAAGGGCTGCGAGTGAGATAGCAGGGCTCTTGGGCAGCCCTGCTGCCGCAGCCCCTGGCAGTTGAGCTGCCACCTGTGCGGCCCAGCAATAAAAAAAAGAGGATTAATTTCAGTCACAGGACTGATCCTCGTTGCACACTGAGGCCTGATAACGTATCTCACTGGTTCCTATCAGTCAGGCAATAAAGCCATTATTGGGATGGGAGATGACAGGAGACACCTTCCTCCTCATCCCAGGTTTGCTGAGGGGATGTCCCCCTCTTGCTCTTCTGTCTCCTGACTCCCGCTTACTGTCTGCTCCACAGCTGCCCCACAGTCTGGCTTGATGGGGAAGTGCCGCCGGCCCCGCACAGCCTTCACCAGCCAACAGCTCCTGGAGCTGGAGAACCAGTTCAAGCTGAATAAGTACCTGTCCAGGCCCAAGCGTTTCGAGGTGGCCACGTCGCTGATGCTCACCGAGACACAGGTACCTTGGTCCTGGGGAAATGGAGCATAGCACCATGCAGCTGTATATGAGGAAAGTCAATGTCATGGGCAATGCTGATGCCATCAGCCCTGCACCCCAATGCTCCCATCAGTGCCCCTTCCAGGACATCTTCTGCAGAGACCTGCCTGGTGGGTTCCAGGCTCTTCTCTTTTGAAGGGCACTCCAGAATACTGCTCTTTTTATCCATCACCCCCAACTTGGGTTTCAGAGTCTTCCCATCCCTCAGCATGCTGTGGGAGGGGGCTTTTTGTGGGGCTAAAATGAAAATGTCCCTGTGCATGTCCTTGGCCATCCTGTGGAGGCCAGATGAAGGGAAGGGAGTAGTCCCCCAGTATTCCTCTCCCCATGACAACTTCAGTCTCTTTGCACAGACCCGCAGCACCACAGAATGCCCCACAGCAGAGAGGCTTTGGGGGGACCCTCCATACAGGGAAGGTGGGAGAGTGGGGACAGAATGGGGCGGGGGACACACTCTCTCCTCTGGGGGCTTTCCCTTTGCAGGTGAAGATCTGGTTCCAGAACCGCCGCATGAAGTGGAAACGGAGTCGCAAAGCCAAGGAGCAGGGGGCTCAGGCAGAGGCTGACAAGCAACGAGGGCTCAGCAAAACCTGCGAGAAGCTGCTGCCCAGCGAGCCTCAGGGACAAGCTGCCGAAAGCCCCGAGTTCATGGGGCACAGCCCTGACTCAGGCTTCCTGCACTGCAGCACTACCGAGCTGAACTACGGCCCCGATTCCTCCTGCTCAGGGGGCGAGGAAGAGGAAGAGGAGGAGAATGAAATGGGTGCCACGGAGAGCAAGATCGGCTCTGTGTTGTGAAAGACGAATGGAGCCAGCCAGGAAGAGGGGCTGGGCTGTGGTGTGGGGGTTCTCTTTGCTGGCAGACACAGACTGTGCCTGGGTAGAGCAGGGGGTGCAGGGCACCTGCCCCCCTTTAACTTATGTGTATTTGGATCCTATTTAACTCGTAAATATTCCTCTGTGTGTATCTGGAGGAGTCCCCACATCCCTCCTTTATAAAGATGTTATCTGGATGCTTGTGCTTTTCCTTAGGGGATGGGAGGCTCTGCCCCTCTCCTGTTACTCTGCTGTCCTGCCAGGGTCCCTGGGGGAAAGGGTGGGGAGAGCAAACTTGCACAGCTGGCAGCCTGCTGGTACAGATGGAAGAGAGAGACCATGGACCCTTCTTGGACTGCACTGCCACTTCCTTGCAGATCTGACAGTGCTTGGAGCAACACATCCCAGCTGCCCTTCCCCTTGGTGAATGAAAAGCTGTGAAGGAGGATTCCCAGGTTGCCTGCCAGCCTGCCTTGCCTCCTCCTTCACTGGTAGAATTCCTGGTGGGGTCGGCACTTTGCAGAGCAAATTTTATCTGTCCTGTGAAGCAAAGCTCTCAATCCCTTTCTGGGCTCGTTTCATGATGCTCTTGGAATGCTGCTTGATCTGACTGGGCTCAAATCAACCCCTGGTGGTAGGATGACAACAGACACCCTCTACCACCTCCCTAGAAGCACTAGGGTTAAGCACCGACTCCCCATAACTAAGCAGGCTGCACTTGTTCTCAGAGGATGCTGGAGGGTCCTGGCAGACACTATAGACCTCCTGTGCCTCCTGCACACTTAATTGGGTCTCTCCTTAGGGTGCTGAGGTAGCCGTGAAGGCAGGGGGGCAGCCTGAAGGGCAGCCTTACTTCACCACCCTGGTGCACGTAGTGCTGCAGGAGCATGGCAGACTGGACTGAGTTGTCCCATTCCTGGACAGACCATGATGTCTCTCCTGTCCCACATCCTGCTGTCCTCTCCTCTCTTCTCCCTGTCCCTACCTAGGGGTGACAGGGATGGCTGCTTGCTCTGGGACCTGCAGTGGGGGTGGGAATTGCCGAGGGGCAACATTTTCCGTGGAATCCCGGGTCACCTTTGGCAGACAGTCAGTGATGGATGGGACAGGTAAGCATTGGTGCACCGCCGTCACACCTCGCAGGGCTGGGAAAAGCCTGGTAGCAGCTGGGGGGCAGTATCCTGGGCAAAGGGACAGATACAATGCTTTTGAAACAGGATGGACCAGGGAAGCAGATGATGGGAGAGAGAAGTATGGACACGGATGGATGGATGGATGGACGGACCTGTGTGGGGAGACAGTGACCCGCAGTGGCTGCTGGCAGCTCAGCAGCTTCCCCCTGGATGCATGACATCCTCGGTGCCCAGATCTCCTGTCCTCAAGCAATCCATCATAGGGCACGGTAGGGCCCCACTGCTCACGCGGAAGGTGCCCAGACCCTCGGCGCTGCCCGGTGGGAAGCTCTGGTTCTGAGGAGGCTGCAGCACTTGCTCCAAGGGGGCAGATATGAGCCGTAGGAGCCAGGTGCCAGGAGCCTGTGTTGGTTGGTGTAACATGGAGCAGGAGAGGAAATAATGTGGGGAAGGAGGAAAAAAAGGGCAGGAAAGGAGAAGGGGAGAGGGAAGTATGAACGGATGGTACCCAATTCCCTGCCATTGCCCTGTGAGGACAGCAGACCAGGAGAGACCCATTGCCCAAGGGTAGCTGTGCCCAATACCATCAGGCATGTAGGACTGGGCACAGAGATGCTGGGAGATTCCAGCCCATGGCTGCAGGAGCCTCAGGGCCAAAGACATCTACCACCTGATGTGCAACCTGGTCCTTGTTCAGCGGGGGACCAGACAGGACCATGGGATGGAGCTGGGCACACAGGTGCAGTGGTGACAGGGGTGGTAGAGGCATACAAGAAAAGGCAAGAAGGAAAGCAACAAAAAATGAAGTGCCAGGAAGGAGGAGGGGAGCTGAAGGCATGTCACAGACTTAAAACGTTCACCTTGATGGGCTATGACAGGTTTAATTTCCAGAGTACAATCATTAAAGTGATGGATGGGAAGCGTTCATCTCACGCCTGGCACACTCACGCCTTCTGTGGCTGCAGGAGGGTTTGTTTTGTTGCTGTTATTTATGAGGTTTTTTCTGCAGGAGCCAGGCACTCATCAGTGCTGGGGGGACAGAGGAGGGGACACGATTGATGCAGGAGGAGTTGGGGTGCTGATTTATGGCTGCTTAGCTGGATCACTCATGTTGTAAACACTGACAAATGCCATTAAAGCTGCATCTCCCTCCTGCCTCTGTCCTGGCACCTTCTCTGTGCTGCGGGATGTGGCCAGCCCTGCTCTACACCATACTGCTGCCTGTGCACCCTGGAGGGGCTATATGACCCTCCCCATCGGGAAAACGAGGGTCCCACCTCTTTGAGGGTCATCCAGGGCACTGGGAAGATGTAGGACTGTCCTGTTGTGGTGGTGGTGCCCCATGGGAATAATACCTGGGATACCTAAAAGGGCTGTGCAGCCAGGGCTTCCTAACCTGTTTGCTCATCTCGGCCCCACAACTTCTTGTGACAATGATCACAACTTGTTACTTGTGTCACCAATGCTTTAAGGAACTCAGGGTGTCCTGGCCCCATTAAGGTGACACCCCATCCCTATGGCAGCACTCTCCAGCCTGTTGCACACCATGCCCCCTTGCCCACAGTCTCCTCATCCATCCATCCTGCACACCCACGTACTTCAGAGCCCCCCCTTTGCTGGATCAGCTTTGCACTGTCTCCCTCCCCTGCACCCCTCCTGGGAGAGAGCCCGGGGCTCTCTCCCACACTCCTGCAATGCCTGCACCCCTCCGTCTGCCACCCGCCTCCCTCCATCTCCCTGTCCCTGGACTCCTCATCTTCCCCTGCTCCCCATCTCCCCGCTGGACCCCCGAGAACTTCTGACCTGCTCCCTCGCCCCCTCCATCTGCCCCCGATCCCCTGCTGCTCCCGCCCTCTCTCTCTGCCCCGCTCTCCGCGTCCCTCCGCCGCCCCCTGGCGGCCACCGCAACCCGCGCGGATTGACCCGAGGCGGCCGCCGTCGTCGCTCCGGGAGCGTCCTGTCTCCATGGCAACGCGGGCCCACATGGCGCTGAGCGGCCGGAACTGGCCCGGGACGGTGCCCGAGGCGCCCCGAGCTCCCGGTGCTTCAGGGGGCCGGGTAGGGCTCAGGGGAGTCGGGCTGGCCGTGCGGGCCGCGGGGGGCAGCGGTGGCTCGCGACCCGAGCTCCGCTTCCCGCTCCGGGGCAAGGCGGGGTGATAAAGGAGCGGGCGGTGCCCTGGGGAACTGGGCAGGCGGTCGCTGTGGGGAACACGGCCCTGCCATAGTCATCCATACGGGGTTTTAGTGAGCCAGGCCAGGCTACAAAGCAGGGCTTTGATATACTGGGCTCTGTGGGCCGATAGTGGGCAGGGCTGGGCTGGGCTGGGTTCGGCTCGGCTCGGCTCTGCTCTGCTCTGCTCTGCTCTCCCCTCCCCGAGGAGAGCCCTGCCGCAAGGGCTAGGCTGTGAGTCACGACCACTAGGTCATGGGGACGACGTGGTTTCTGGAGAGGGCTGCACTCACCTGACAAAATGGGGACACAAAGGGGCACGTTGCAGCAGCCCCTACAGGGAAGAGGCTCAGTGACACCCTGAGCCAGAGGAGGGGGCATTGGGTCTCTGGGAGCGCCCAGCTCTTGGCAAAAAAGGCTCTCTGGGTGCAGAAGCAGCATACGTGAGGACTTTTTCCTCTTGTTTCTCAGATGCTTGCTCAGCAGCATGGCAAGCCCCAGAACTCTGACTCTTTTCTGAAGAAGTTCTGTGGCTATGACAGGAAGGTGGACGGAGGATTAAAGGGTGCTTATTGTCGTGGGTGGATTCTCTGGCAGGCAGGGAGAGGAGAGAAGCAGAAAAACGTTTAGCCTTTGCTTCCCTCGTTCATCACCCCGTTTAGTATCTGCTGTTTGGGCTGTGGCCAGGAGGTGTCTCCTCTGGACTCCTGAACCAGGTCTTCTGGTGACTCCTGGAGTTTTGCCGCAGGGTGGCTCCTTTCGTCCTTATCCAGTCAGAAACCTTTAGCATAGAGAAACAGCCGTTTGAGTGATTTCTCCTCCCTTCCCAACTACTATTCCCTAAGGTGTCTGTAAGACAGGGAAAGAAGAAGAAATGCATATTCTGGGGCATTGAGGTGGCTGAAACACTCATTTGGCATGGCTGGGAACTTGGACAAGAGATGATCAGACACCTGACCTTGAAAAATGTTCATGAGAAAACCCAGAAGCTGAGCTACAGGTGCGTGGGAAGTTTGTTTGTCCTTTGTACTCCTCATGCTCTCGCTTCATCTTCATCCCTCCTGCTGTATCAGTAACATCAGCAGTTTTTCTCAGACTCACCTTCCCCCTCTCCCCTTGAGTGCTGTGCTGGAGACAGTGTGTGCACACTTATGTAGCAGGACAGAAACCTGCTAATTCAGAAACACAGCCCTTGTTCCTGGCAGAAGTGTGTTAAATAAAATGCCTTTTTTTAAATTCTGTTTTGCTGATACTTCTGTCTGTGAGGCGTTTCCAGTCTAGTGAGATTTTAATTGTGGATGTATGCCAGCCAGTCACTAGTGTGTCCTAAAACCATTGCTCCCGGGAGTCCCACTGGATATTGAGCCACTCCAGCACTCCCTATGACCCTCCCTGCTCTGAAACTCAAATGTGTCTGCCCAATGTGTTTTGCTCATACTGCATGGCCTGAAAACATAAAATACTGTTCAAGGATAGGGTAGGTACTTAGAGCTGGGAATGGGTTTTCAGGACACCTGGGTTCTGTCCCTCTTTCTGCTGCTGTGCTACCAAGGTACCCTTGGGGTCAGGTGTGTAAGGTGCTTCTAAACTGTGGGGTCTGGAGGTTTTGTTTATTTGTTCTCTTTTCTGCTATCTAACTGAAGAACAGCTGTATGCCCTCACACAAAATCTCTTGTTTTGGTGTTGTTGTCTAGGTGTCCTCCCACGCCATTCTTCTTCACTGTTTTTCCGCAGCCGATTACTCTCAGCCCTGGAATGTCCATAACTCTGCCCATCGTTTTCCGGCCCAGTGAAAAGGTAAAGCACTAATGTCATAACTGCTCCCAGTGCTCAGGCTGCCTTCCGGGCGAGCAGTGGGCCTCTGCCTCTCGTGTTCTTTCTGATTTTTCACTTGAATGAATCAGTCCTTGGGGAACATTCTAACATAGGAAGAGTGGCCAGTGACCTTCCTGCTCTCTGCACATCTTCATCACCGGAGGGAGCCCTAATCTTGACTTATCTGCAGAGTTTGCCCGTGATTATGAGAGGGATCCTCACAAAAAGTATTCCCAGTTTTTCGCGTTCTACTTCTGGCCATGAGATCAATAAGATGAAGTACTTGAACTGGCCACACCTGGTTTGATACCAGGGAACCTCGGCTGTATGGTTTTAGTGCAGAACCTTGGGTTGAGGGACTCTTTGCTTTACTACAGGAGACCCAAAGCCCCTACAATAAAGGGCTACTGGTTTTCCATAAGGGACATGTCAAAGGCCTCCTTTTTTCTGGATGGGGGTGGGTTTCTTTATGCTTTATTTTTAACAGCAATGATTCTTTTTACCCAGTCTCTTTTCTTGCTTTTCAACTTGTTTGTAGTATCTGTCTTGTCTCTGAGTGTTGATCTCTGGCTCTTGTCAACAGCTGTATGTCTTTGATGTGGATCTCTGTCCTAGCCATAGAGCATTATTATTGGACAGATTCCCAGTACCCTGCTCTCAGTATCATGATTTTTTGATGACTGTTCAGTGTCCCCTTTATGAAATAAGCTGTTGGCCTTGTTCCATTTTCAGTGGATAGTTTGTCTGCAGCACATCAGTCGCTAAAGCAGGAGGCTGCCTTTCTTAGAATGAGCAAGGACTGTGTGTGCTGCAGTGCCCAAGGTCGCTCCTTACCTGGATAGGTGGTACTCAGGAGGGGTGACAAATGGGAAGCATGGAAAACACGTATCTTGCTATTCCTTCTATCTTAGCTGCTTAGCAGATGTCCTGGGGCTATTTGTACACAGTGCTGTCAACACTGCATCTTTAAGTTGTGCGTTATCTGCTTGGGTTTCCAGCTGACAAAGCATTTAATCAAAGACTAATATTTCTGTGCTTGTGGAGCTCAAAGAAAGGTTGTACATGCTTCAGTTCAGCTGAATTGGGATCTTGAAAATACTGAGAGAAATCCATCTGCATTGAAACAAATCAGGTGAAACAAATGTGGCCTTCAACTGCTCTTCCTGAGAGTGTGTGTTCCCTGACAGAGTTAGGAGTATGCCTGAGTACCTTCCACGCTGCCTGCCTTTTCCAAATTATTCATATGCTCTGTCCTGCACAGAGGCCTCCGCTGGTGTCTCTGTTGCTGACATTTTTTCCCTAACACCTGCGGAGGTGAAGGTGATGGGTATTCATGGGTGGAGCTGCAGTACCTGCAAGGTGGAGTCCTTCTAACTGCTGTCTCCTCTTGCTTTTCTGTGCAGAGGGAGTATGAAGACAGCATCTGCTTTGTGAAAGCTGAGGGTGAGTTCTCTGTTACCCTGCGTGCTGTGCTTCCACGCCTCCGTCTGTCCTTCCCGGCTGCTCTCCAGTTGCCTGTCTGTGCTGTCCACAGTGTCACAGAGACGACATTCCCTGTGCGCAATGTTGGGTGAGTGAGATGTGACTGAGCAGACACTCCTGTTTTGCCAGGTATTTTGCTACCCTCTTGGACTATCCGTTAAATGCAGCTCGTTCCAGTTGTTGTTAGATCTGCTAGCTGCCTTAACAGGCAGCAAAACTCTGCTTCCCCTGAGGTCCTGGCAGAAAAACCAGCAGAATGGTAGTACAGGTTACTGTGGGCTCATCTGGGCATCTCATATCCATCTGTTTCCAGCATATGCCGAGAACCATTTGTGCCCAGGAACTAGGTGGGGACCAGCACAGTGTCCCACTGAGAACATCCCACATTCAAAGGAGAGGCCTGGGCTTCCAGTTAATTAAAGGCAGCCTTCCCAGCATGAGCAGGGAGAGATGAGCAACCAGCTGGAAACATTTTAGTCATTTAGGAGCAAAGATGCTCCCAGTTATCAAGGAGTCTTAGTAAGGGAAGGACAGTAAATGAAGCAGTACTATAGAAAGGAATGTAGTGAAGTTCCCAGGCAAGGAGGGGTGTACAGCCATTTCAAGTGATTCATTCTCCACTTAGGGAAATAATTTGTACCGACTGAGAGGTCCAGGGTGTTGGAGGATGTTAATGGTAACTAACACACAGTTTGGAATCAATAAAATAGAAAAAGCTGATGGCATATCATGTTTTTTGCGGAAGTCAAACAAGCAAAGGGAGTTCTGGAGAGCTGAATGAGGTATTAGGGGAATAGCTCAATCCTTTCTTCCCACCTGGGTGTATAACAGAGGAACAAATGTTCATTTGGAATTAAGTAGCAGCAAATTTAGATACAGGAAAAGCGAATACTAATTCTGGAGCACATGATGAAGCTGAAAAATTTCACAGCCATTAGTAAAGTTCTTAGACATAATAGCTAAGATTCATTAAAGTGTGAATAGAAGATCTGCAGAGACTAGAGACAAAGTTCTTCTCAGCATTACATATTTGTCCAGATGCATTAGAGATTCTGCCATTCAGCATTGGTTGCTTCACATCCTAACTGAATAACCCATTGGGAAAGGCTCATTCTGTGCATGATTGCACAGGCAGCAAACGATCCATTCGTCTGCTTAAAATGTATCTCCATTTCCTAGTGATCTCTTTACCACATTTGCCTGGAAGACACCAAGTCCTTTCTGCATGATTCCTGACCATGGCAAGCTGAAACCAGGTGCCGAGTGCATGGTCAAGGTGGTCTTCCAACCCAAAGTGGCTGGGGTTCATGATGGGGTAGCCACATGCTGGTTTGGAGATCAAGAGAAACAAAAGAGGATAATCCAGCTAAAAGCCATAGGTGAGTCTTTCTTGCATTTAACACTCAAAGAAATATGTATCACCCCTAACTGTGGAACAGCATTCCACAGAGATACAGGGAGGGCCTGCACTCTAAGGCTGTGCCACTACTGGCTCAATGCATTGATGAGCAAGTGAGGCCCATGGTTTGAAAGTGGCCTGTGAAATTCTCTAATGTACTTTTGCCAATTTGGAAGTGTTATCTGAAGGGACTTGTGGCATGCTTTGGCCAAAACAGCATTTCTGAGGCCTGCTTAAGTTGACGAAGGGGAAGAAATGAGAGGATTTCACTGGAAAAAACCTCCACAAACTCCTGGCTTTGTCTGCACTCAGTGTCTTGTCTGTCCCTGCTAGACAGAGAGGTAGAGGGAAATTTCTAAAGCTTTCTGGATGCAAGATAAAATAAGCAATGGTTTCATTAGCAGGTCCTTGCCTGAAGTGCCTTGTGTGGCCACTGACAAAAAAAAGATGTGATTCTGAGTTAAGTAAATTAGGGCTGGAAGGGAGCTTATTTGGTGCAAACCAGGACCAACTTTGAAGGTAGATCCAACTTCAGAGTAATCTGAGGTTCTTCAGAGGCTTGTCCAGTTAAGTGTTGAATATCAAAGGATGGAGATTCCATCTCTCTTTCCTAATCCAGTATACTATTCTCTTTAACAGCCAAGTACCCCTATCTCCGTGTGCATGTGACAGGGAAGAAGTATGAAGGTGTACAGCCTGGAAAGTTTCGGGATGTCCTGTGCTTTGGATCAGTGCCAGTGGGGACAACTGTGGAAAAGTGTGTAGAAATCTTCAACCTGTCTGTGGTATGTGGAGAGGGAGATTGACTTCTTGTGAGAAGCTGGCATGCTGACACATTTCCGTGGCACATGTGGTCTTGTGTATCTCCCTTAATGCTGTGAAAATAACCTAAGTGTGAATGTGAATGAAACAGAGATGATGAGCCTTCCCCTACCAACCAGGCTATTCACCCTTGCCTTCCAGCTATAGTGCTAAAAACATAGCCATTTGCAGCATGGTATTGCAGTTCCCACCTGCTTCCCACTGTGCTTGGTCCAGATCAGGCAGCCACCACTGTCCTTTGCGTCCTGCAGGTCTCCTGCTCGCTCTGGACAAGCCCATCGTGTGCATATGTCCCAGGCAGGTGATGGATCTTCTCCTGCCTTCAGTGGACTGCAGCCCAGTGAATTGTTCTAAAAGTTAGAAGGGCTGCATTTGAGCACCTTGTTACCTGTGCCAGCTCAGCCCATCCCAGCCCCTTAAACGATGGATGTACTCACAGATAGCTGACATGGATGACAGCAGTGCTCCCTCCCCAGGCTCCGCAACTCAGGAGTGGCAAAGACACACTTGTTTGTTGTACTGTTATTATTCGCACTGCAGTGATGCTCAGCATCACCAGGCAAGGATCAGGACCTTCTTTTAAGGGGCTTGAGGAAGGTGTCAGAGCACTGTCTTTTTTTTTTTTGTGAAAAGAAGATCCCTAGACAGGGTGGAACTGTGGATGGAGGGAAATAAGTTATTTGCCTTCCTGTTCCCATGGTCCCAGAAGTCACTTAGGCTACTTTAGCCCCTGAGGACACCTTGAGTCATCCTTCTCCCTACCAGGAGGGATACTCCAACCCCAGAGATCACAGAGTTTTGCTGTAGCTCACTGACTTTTGAGAGTATTGTGGGAGTTTGCTGCCCCCAGTTCTCCATCAGGGCAGAAGTTTGCTGCACAGGATTTCTGTGGTATCCTTGGTGTTCTTGTTGGTGTTCAGCTCTGATGAAAACTGCAGTTCTTACTTGATCAGTGCCCTGCATTCAGAGCCATCCTGGCTCATGTTGGCCCCTTTGTTAACCTATCTCTCTTCTACTTGCAGGTTGATGCACCATGTAGGATAAAGCGAGCAAAAGATCCTGTGCTTTGTGATTATGTTTTCTCCTGTGATGTGTCCCACGGCATTGTTCCTGCCAAAGGGAAGCTGGTCTTGTGCATACAGTTTCGGCCTCAAGTAGTAGGAGAACACAGTACTGACTATTTCACTATCACATCTGCTGGATGCCTCCTGGAGACTGTTCTGAAGGTGGTTGGCTCATGTAAAGGTACCAGAGTGAAAGACTTCCCTGTTTCTCCCTGCCATCTTCTTACCACTGCAGGGAGAGGGTTAATGCTTGGGGAAGGACTAGGAACTGTCATAGCCCACAGTCACAGGCTTACCTTCTGCTGGGATCCTGGCTGTCCCTGGTGCACTGTCTGGGGTTTACACTTGCTTGAGACAGATGTTTGACTGTTTTAAGTGAATGTCCAGCTGTTTGCTAGGGCTAGTGTGTTGGCTGTTGAGGTGATCTGGTTTGGGAAGATCAGTTAAGTGCAGCAGTGGCTTGTGACATGTTGACAGAAACAGCTGTGACAAGTCCAGGATCTGTCTTGCATGTTGTGCTAGGTCCTTTGGTGTCCCTGGACCAATATTCTGTGGACTTTGAATGGATCAATCTTGGAGAAAGTTTGATGCAGACACTGAAAATCAGCAACATGTCAGATGTCCCAGCCTATTACCAGTTTGATATTGATTGCAAAGGAAGCGTCTTCTCCTTGGATCGCCCTTGTGGAATCTTGGAGGGCACAACAACACTAACACTGAAGGTGACCTTTCGACCTACTCACCCAATGACCTATCACCGTAGAGTCGTGTGCCTTGTCCACCATCAGGTATGGGAGGCAAAGGGTGGTTTCATTGCTGTAATACTTTAGAAGGATATTCCACTGTAATCCAACAGGGCTGGCCTCTCTCACTTAGTAGCCCCTGAAAATCTCTTCCCCCTGCATTTTCATTGATACCTATCGTGGAATCATTAAGATTGGAAAAGAACTCTAAGATTATTGAATCCAACCATTAACCCAGCACTGCCAAGTTCATCACTAACCATATCCCCAGGTGCCACATCTACATGTCTTTTAAATACCTCCAGGGATGTTGACTCAACTACTTCCCTGGACAGCCTCACAGTGCTTGACAACCATTTTAGTGAAGAAATTTTCCCCAATATCCAATCTAAACCTCCCCTAGCATAACTTAAGTTTGTCTTCTCTTGTCCTATTACTTCTTAACTTGAGAGAAGAGACAAACTCCCACCTGGCTACAATCTCCTTTCAGGTAGTTGTAGTGAGCCTTCTTTTCTCCAGGCTAAACACCCCCAGCTCCCTCAATCACTCCTCATAAGACTTGTGCTCCAAACCCTTCACCAGCTTCACTGCCCTTCTCTGGACACACTCCAGGTCCTCAATGTTTTTCTTGTAGTGAGGGGCCCAAAACTGAACACGGTATTCAAGGCATAGTCTCACAAGTGCCAAGTACAGGGGGATGATCATTTCCCTAGTCTTGCTGGCCACGCTATTTCTGATACAAGCCAGGATGCCATTGGCCTTCCTGGCCACCTGGGCACACTGCTGGCTCATGATCAGCCAACTGTCCACCATCACCCACAGGTCCTTTTCTGATGAGCAGCTTTCCAAGCACTCTGTCTCAAGCCTTAGTGCTGCCTGGGATTGTTGTGACCCAAGTGTAGGACCTGGGCTCTTGTTGAGTGGAATCCCCATGGTGCAGGTTCCTACCAGCAATAGGATGTGGACAGACAGTCAGTAATGCCTATGGGTGGGGTGAGGTGCATCTTCAGTGGCTTCTGTCCATTTGGGGCTCTGAGTTAAATTTAGCTGCACAGCTGTGCACTGAGTGCCTTCAATTTTCACTCCAGTTTCGAGAAAGTTCTTGTGTCACAAAAAGACATAAAGTAAGTGGCAGCCTAGCATTGCAGATGCTAAGCCTTTCCCAGGCATGGTTTTGGAAGTGAGGTACTGGCATGGTGTACCCTTCAAAGCAATCACAGAAGGACAGTTTATTTCTTATTATTCTTGCTGGTGTTTTCCCAGGAGCCCATGTATGTGGACTTTTTTGGCACCTGCCATTCAGGCACAGCTAAGCCAACCACCCTTCAGGCAAGCCACCTCTCCTCATACCGAACCAACATGGTGAGGGGACTGACCTTCTATCCCCCTGATATCCTGAGTGTGATGCTAAAGGATGGGAAGTTGCAGATGGATGGAAAGGGAGCCCTCATGCTGCCCCCTGAGGTATGAGCTACCCTCTCTGGAATCTAAGACATTCCCAGCTGTTCACTGCATATGCTGGCTTTCTGTTGCACAGGAGACAGATGTAGAAGGACTTGCAGGTGCCAGACTGATTTCTTTAGTATCTCTGCTGTTAATGTTCCCAGCACACACCAACACTATCTTTTTCAGCTGGATTTTACCCCAGCTCAGCCACTAAGCTGTTTTCTGGATTTGACTCAATCACAGGTTTGTCTTTGATTCATGTAGTTGTAGATTGAGGACTGGCTTACAAACAGGAGCCTCCCTGAATCCTAAACTTTGAGCTGTTCAGGAAACTGTTACTGAAGTGTATCTTGCTTTCCCTCTTGCTCATGAAGGCAGTCAGGACTGTAGTGTCTGGTGTCTCCCACATGTACACTTCTGCTCACACTGAGATATTTCCATCCTGTAGATCTCTCAAGACAAGCCTCCCGAGGAATACTTTGAACCCAACTCCATGACTGAATATTTCTGTGATGGTGTAAGAAGTGATCTCGCCTCGTTTCCCACTCATGTTAGTGTCAGCCCCAGGGAGTACGATTTTGGTTGCTGTGTACCACCTCACAGGGCAGAACCTCTTCCTCTCTATGTGACCAACCACACCAAAGGAAATATCATTGTTGCCTGGACTCCAAGCCATGGCAGTGCCTTCCTAGTGCACCCTGAAATCTGTGACATCCCACCTCTGAAGACTTCAGCCTTCCGTGTCCTTTTCAAGCCCACTCAGGTCAACAGTCTCTATGCAGCAGAGCTAGAAGGTTTTGCCTTCTACAAGGTTAGTAGAAATTACTTAGACCAGAGAGGACCTAGTAAGCAATTGTTTCCAGAATAAAGGCTTTTGAGGGAGTTTAAATTCAATTGAAACCCTTAATTTTGAATTTGACAAACTAGCATCTTTATTAACTCCTTTGGCTCCTGCTTTGATACAGTAGTGGGTTAAAATTTCTTCTTCACCTGTGTCTTGGCAAAGAAGTGAGAGAAGCAAGGACAGCCCATGCATGTGGACAGGTACACTTGCTCTTACCCCCAGTGAACATGAAGCAATGTACACCTCCTTGAAGGAGGAATTACGTGAATTACTGCACTGTTAGTGTAGATGAGAGCCTACACAAGGATGGTTATCATGGCCTGGGTAATGGACAGTAAATTGGTTTTTTTGTCTGGCCCTCCACAAGTAAAGCTGCTGAGGGCACTGTATATTACTGCAGCCTCTTCTTCCAAATGGCATAGGATTCATGCCACACAAGTCTGCAGTTACAGGAGTTTTAGCACCTAGAAATATCCTGGTAGGTGAAACTTAACATTTGCAAGTCTCTCAAACTGCACTAGTGTCTATAGATGTTTCTTCCTAAAGCAACTCTTGTAATGTCACAGAATAGCTTGGATATATCCTTCTGCTTGAAAGTTACTCACTGGTCTTTTGTTCCTCATCTGGCACTGGTTAGTCCTTCTTCCCTGAAAAAGTAAATTCCTTAGCCCCAGGGATGTCATTGAACAAATAGCTGCTTGCAATGGTACATACACTTGAAGGCACTTTGCCACACTCCCTTCCTGCACACGCTCTGTGCTGTCCCTTGCATGTCTGCAGGTGATGAGACACTACACCAATGTTGAGAATGATGCCACCATCTGTCCGTCATGGTGCCTGACTGTGAAGCTGAGAGCACACACGTATGAAGCAGGACGGGAACACTTCATTCCACAGTACATCCTGGATGTCCCCAAGGTGAGTAACTGATTGACATTTGGGTATTTGCAGAGACAGTCTGAAGTCTTTACTTTCTCTTCCATTGCACCATCCTCAGATGTGACTTTGGTGGTTTCTGATGGTGTGGAGATTCCTGCTTTGGTACAGAAGTAGGATGCTCTTTTTCCTGCATTAGCTTCCCAGCCTCCAGCATGTCAGGTTGCACTGAGCATCTCATTAGCTCTGAGAGGAAAGCTGTTGGGATCTCGTTCCTTTCTGTTTAAGTGAACATAGGCACTAACAAGGGTGTTTAGTTCCCTCCCAGGAGCATCAAGTACTCTCCATGCACTTAGACAAACACAGAATCCACACTAAGGAAGAGAAGTGGTTGCAAGGTAGAATGGAAGTTTTCTTCACACTTCCTGCTGTTTCTGTAGCACAACAAAGTATTGTTCATATGAGGTAAAGTGATATCTGATCCTAGGAAGTAAGAATAGTCTTGAGAACCTCTTAGAAAATCTCCTCAGCTAATCCAGGACATGCAGCCTGATATGTATGAATTGGAGCAAATTCCAGCCTGCTGGAATTCTTGATCCAGGAGGTTGGTCTCCATGCAGAAACGAGCAAGCAGCTTTCTTACTAAATGAACATAAAGCGTTCCATAAAGGAAAGTAGCTTCACTGATCTCATGAGCATATGAAAGATGAGGGCCATTGTGGGAAGTAAAAAGCCCATATTTTTTATACCCTTGGGTGGTTTCATTTCTTTCCTTGAAAAGAAGTGTTACATAGACTCAGGGTAGTGCTTGTTTGAACCTGGAATTCAATATCATGAAAGCTTTTTCTTTAAACTGGTTTTCTAAATCCAGCAAAAACAACCCTTCTTGCTTGTCTCCACCAGACTTTTCCTCCTGTGGTTCCTGACACCGATACCTACTGCAGCATGCTGCTGTTGAACACGAGCACCTCTTTGATGACTTTCAGTGTGAACCAAACTGCCTGTCCCTCTGTTTTGGTCAAGCCCAGCTCAGGACACATCATTCCAGGAGGCCACCAGATTTTTTTTCTCTCCACTCACCCAGTCAAGACAGTCTCACAGCAGCATATCCTGCCTCTACAGCTGAACTCTTATCCTGGATACACCAAGGTAGGGCAAGGGAAGTGGAAGATGGTGAGCAAAGTTTTATTCCTTTGTAGTCTTCCCTTTTCACAGTCACTTGCACTATGATGCCTATTATATCTCCTAATGGTTAGTTTGGATTTTTCTCTTTGGAAATAGGAATGAAAGAATATTTTCAACACTTAATTGTGGGATCAGCACTGTATAAAGAAGGTGCTTGTGGTGCCAAACATCCTGTAGCCCTTATTCCCTTGCATTCCCATCTGCTGGAATGCACTATATTATGCTCAGGGCTCTACTTCACAGCACAACCTAAAGAACTTCCCCTCTCCTTCAGATCTTGTTTGTTCTTATTTCTTGGAAGGAGCAACATCTTTGCAAAGTCCCTTCAGAGGTAGCTGAAACTTCTAGCTAATGTCTGTTACCTTTCCCCTTAATCCCACAGGAGATTTCTCTCCAGAGTTGTGGGGAGTCCCTTCTTTTGCTGTTAGAAGGTGATGGAAATCTATACTTCAAGCCTCTCTATGTAGGGACCTCCTCTACACGAATGTACACCATAAAAAACTGCACAAGGCTACCCATGATTTTCACATGGAAGATACCTCAATCTGACAGTAAGATCCTGTCTGTCAGCCCCACTGCAGGGATCCTCCAGCCCAATGAAGCCATGGTAAGTTTAAGGTCTACCAAAGTTGTACTTTGCTCTCTACAATACAGCCACAGCCTGACTTTGAATATCTGAATGTGCATTCCCAGTATGAGTCTTTGACACAGATGGAGGTGGTGGATGATTGAAGGGAGAGTGTCTCCAGAGTTGTCTGTAAAGAATTAGGTTAGCTGTAATGGAGGAAGGGACTGTGCATGGAATGCAACTGTTGAGGTGTTTGGGTTTGTCTCTGGTCTGGAGCTCCTGTGAGCACTCTCTTCTCTTCTGATTGCAGGCTCAGGCATGGACTTTTACTCCAGATGAGGAGACCAAGTATCTGCTACGAGCTATGGTGTTCGTGAGGTGGAAAATCTCGGATCCTGTGTCTCCCGAAAGTGTCCGTTATGCCTTACAGGTTTTTGGAGAGGGGGCACTGGGCACCATCAGGGTAAGGAACTGGGGCCCACTGGGTAGTAGGAGGGGTACTAGGGTGGGATGGGGATCTTGGACTTTCCCTTTTTGTGCAATCTGTACTGGAGGCAATCAATAAAGATTCACAGCAAAATTCCCAGACAGTGCTTTCAGTGTAGAAAATAGAACTAATTCTAGTGGCCTAATGGCAACAGCATATTGTAAACGTCCTGCCAGTTCAAATGTGACCTTCCCAAATCCTCTGAGATTGCTTTCAAATCCTCTGTTTCAGACTGAACCAAGCAAGCCGTTTGGCTCCTTGGGAATCATGGTTCTCTCCTCTATTCTGCCTGCTCTCCTCCATTTGTTCTGCCGTTAGTCTGATTTTTTAAGTGCAGTGGACCTTTTCAAGTGGTATAGCCAGTACACATCCACCTGGCTTTCCTCCTATTATCTGCAGATCGGTGCAGCCACCTTCATTTTCAGTCAGGCTTCTTAAGCAACCAGAGGTAAATAAAATAATACTTTGTAAGTCGTTGCCCCGTGTCAACCATGTTGGACAGATGGGTGATAATGTGTTAGAGGTACCTAGTCACAATAAATTGTATGTGAGTGCACAACTATCCAAAAGAGAGGGGGACTCAATGCAGTCATGAAAGGGCCAGCAAACATCTCTCAGCCCTTGACCCAAGTGCAGCTGGCCAGCTAGTCTCCTCACAGCCCTAAATATACTACATCCTACCCGGCAAGCAGCCTAAATAATGGTAGGAGAAAGCATTTACAGGAAGGATTGAGCCCCTTGCAGGCCCATTTTATAATGTCTTAACTGCTCTCTAACTACCTGAAAGGAGGTTGTAGCAAGGTGGGTGTTGGTTTCTTCTCCCAGGTAATAAGCAATAAGGCAAGAGCAAATGGCCTCAAAGTGCACCTGGAGAAGTTTAGATTGGATATTGGGAAAAATTTATTCACAAAAAGGGTTGTCAGTCATTGGAATGGGCTGCCCAGGGAAGTGGTTAAGTCACCATTCCTGGAGTTATTTAAAAGACGTGTAG